AATTTAAATTAAATTATAATAAAAATAATTAAAAAATTACATAAAAAATAAGAACTTTTAAATAGTTGATTTGATATTTACATTGATATATATATTTTTTTAAATTTTATGATACCTTCAAATTTATATTTTATTCAAAAATAAAATCATTATTACTTTCTTAAAAACATATAAAATCGTATTATAACATCGACATAGACAAATAATTAAATAAAACATTAAAATTAAAATGTGTCTCGATGCATTACACGAGTACTCTTATAGTAAATTATAGAGACGAAAACATAATTTTTTAAATTATACAGACAAAAATCACAATTTTTAAGGAGGAAAATCTTAATTTGCTAAAAATGGAAAAACTGAAACCTAAATATACGAGAACCCAGAATCTTAACCAACCAACGGATTTGTGTACGGATTCCCCTTGATTTTTGGACCAAAAATTTCAACTATTTAAAATGCTCACAATTAACCCCTCGTCTGAAAAATGGCTCCGCCGTCCAAAACCTCCCTCCTCCTATTCTTTGTATTTTCGGCTGCCGCCGCCAAACCCAATGGTCCGAGAAGATCCGGTGGTGGTCATGGCGGCAAACATGCCGGAGCCGCTAATGCCGGAAACGTAATGGAAACCAATTTCCGAGGCTCATGGGCCATCGATAACCCCAATGCAGGTGTTGCCGCCATGCAATTCCAATTGATGCCGAACAACAAGGCGGTGTGGTTCGATACAACGTCCCTCGGGCCGTCTGCTCGGGAATTGGGTCCGCCGGGAAATTGCCCGAGAAACGCCGAGCAAAACAACAAGCCGGATTGCTACGCGCATGCCATCGCTTATGACGTCGAGACTGGACACAGCAGAACCATTTATGTGTGTCATCTTTTCTAACCATCGTATTTTGTTCATTGCAAATTAACTGTTATCTATTTTTCAAAGAATATTCTAAAAATGGAAAGTTACGATGAAGATAACACTCCATACGTCCCAAAATAAGGAGTTGCTTAGCTCAATAATCTTCTCGAGAAACTGTATTTGCAAAATGATCCTCCAACTGTAATTCTAAGTTTTTATTCGAGCAGATTATTTGAAATAAGGAACAGATTGTTATTTATCCAAATGACTGCAAAATTAGTGTCTGCATTCATACAATATGTATATATTGTGTCTACTTTTCAACTCTGTTCCCTGAATTATGAGATTAAGAAATTCATAACTGCATATAGAATTAAGGATAAATTTGTCATTTGGTTAATAAAACGAATAATAATTATTAAAAATTATAAGACTGTGTGTGTATATATATATATATATATATATATTTTTTTTTT